CTCGCTCCCGGGAAGCTCCGGATCCCCAGAGGGGCTGGCAAAGGGGCAGCGCGCGAGGGGCGAGGGACCCGTGAGCCCCGCGCGGGCCTCCAGACGCGGAACGCCTGAAGCCCCGGAGGGAAAATCCAGCCCTGAACTCTCAGGCGGCGCTTTCCAACCTTGAGAAACGTTAAGGGGAGTAGAGTTCCACTCCCAGCGTGCTGGCTGGGGAATTCTGGGAGTTGAAGTCCACCCATCTTAAAAGTTACTTACTAGGATGGGCAGAGTGTCATTTTAGCAGAGGCAGCTCTCTTGCTAGCAGGGGGATACAGGTAGTCCTTGTTTAGTGACAATTGGGACTGTCAACTCGCTCACCAAGCAGAGCGGTTGCTAAGTGAAGCCGCAACTGCTTACAAATCTTACTTTTGCTTTCCTTTGCTTTACAGACCTGCAAAGGTCGTCAATGTGAGGATTGGTCAGAGTTACTTTTTCATTACCGTTATAACTGTGAGCAATCACTAAACAAGGCAGTCACTAAATGAGGACTAGTTAAAGCAATTAGGCCACGAAAAACTGGCTATGTTCTCTCCTCCTTTGAAGACAGATGCTGGAGGAAAGAACTGCAGGCCGGCTTGTACGTTGTAGCTTAATGCTGCTTGTTTTATCTGCCTGGAAAAGTCAAAGGAATTGATCTTTTTACCTGTGTCATGCTAAGAATGGAGGAAAAGGATTAAATGGATCACAGGAAGGCCTTTGTGTGCAGTAGATTACTCAATTCTGAGAACTCGCAAAGCATATTAATACCAGCTGCAGAGGTATTACATGGCTGCTGGTACAACCCATTAAATGGCAGGTTTATGAGATACAGCTTTTTTGTGGAAGTTCATTCCGAATAAGCTGGCCCTTTCAGTCCAGGCATTCAAACAGGCATTATTGCCTTGGCGTTATACGTTTATAACATTAAATCTTGTGTCTTTTCCCCTTTCTGTAATTTTTAAGCGCTGTCTCTTAAATATCTTGATGCATCCAGCTATTATAAATTATTAATATAAAACTGGCATATATATGTGGTGTTATAAATAAATAAAATTTTGCTACAAATCCAGGGAAATATGTTACTTTACATACAATAAATCCAGATTATTTTTATTATACTTTTTCAGGAGCACTTTTACATTCCTAGACAAGAGGGGCTGTTACAGATACAAGCTTTAAATCCATGGACAGAAAAAGAACTATTGACATTGCTCTTTATGTACAGAAAAAGAAAACAGTAGTCAGTTAGGTATAACCCCAGGAAGGAAACACTTCTTGCAGAAGACAGTAGCATCTCTCATGTCCTGTCCATTCCCATGTGAGTCCCACTGAAACCAAGAGAAACTTGTTCATTCCAATGGGACTTACACAGGTAAAGAGCCCAGTGAATGCAATCTTCCATAGGCCTTAAGAAATCCCCTGTCCGTCCAGCATGGTACCAACTTCTAGAATTCCTAGCTGGCACGGGATTTGAAGAATCAGTTCAACACCTGGGGATACCAAGTCAGGGAGGGCTGCCTTAGATAACAAGGCAGTGGCTGACAGCACAGCTTATTAAATATTTCCAAAGAGTTGTCAGCTTTAGAGAACATCAGAAAACACTCCAGAAGGACAGTACATGAAAGGTAAGATGCAGAAAAGTTTTAGACATGGGAAAAGCAGTTGACTTAAATTGTTCCAAGTGTTTTTAAGTTAGAAATGCAGCCATTAGGGAAATAGTTAAGTGCTCCTCTCTTCTGTTTCCTCTGAATTCTTCCCAAGCAGGTTGGTAGAGCTCTGATCAGGCCTTGCCTGCCCTGCCTGTTCACAGCAAAAAGCAACAGGATGGTGCGTCGCTTCATCTTTGCATACTTTATAATCTTTGGATTCATCATCACTGAATTTCTGCGCATCAGTCAGTCAACTGTTTAATTACAAAGGGAATTAAACACCCCAGCAAAGTAGGGGATGACCTTGGCAGCGTAACAATAAGTGGCTCTTTTATATGACCAACCAGCTCACCAAATAAAGGAAGGTAATCTCACATCCCTCTGATCCATGTAAGAGCAATGGCTAATCAGCTTCTCTCCAGTCCAGAAATAGACTTGGCGAATTCAAAGCAGAAGGTCTGTGGAGCAATGTGGGGCCTCCTGAGGCACCATGCCAGCAAGATGCCTCGTGGGGTGTCCTGACCCACAGGGTGAGAGGCCGTGGAACTACTGGGGCCCCTGAATAGAGTGGCTCAGAGAACACAAAGAAGAGGTCTTTTGCTCAGATTATGTCTGAGATAAGTTCTCATAGACGCACATGTACACGCTCATACAGCTGAGGAACATGGACATTAAAACATTCAGAGAAGAAGCTGATGAAAATATATTCACAGAACAACCGTCAAAAAAAAAAAAAAAAAAAACTGAACTTGCAATTTGCAACAATGTTGAATATACAAACTGAACTATAAAACAATATGGGGAGGGCACAATCTTCAGCCTTT